TTTTTTTTTTTTTTTTTTTTAACTCTTGGTGGTGAAAGAACAAGTAGTACAGAAGGTTATTTACCTGAAGATTAGGATATAGTGTAACATCCAGAAAGCTTTTTGTATGTTTTCATTCACAGTGCTCCCGTGCATCTCAAAAGTCTTTGGAAGTTGCATTATATGTCAGTTATTTTTGTACTCAGGTCAGCTTTTTTTTCTGTAAAGGAAGTCCTTTTGACATTTATATGCGAAAGGAATTATATTATGTCTGCGAACACCAGACTTCACACCTTGAAGTGCATAGCGTAAGATTTGAAGCCAGTACTGTGCCACTAAGCCTTAGACGTGAATTTTGTTATTTTTGTGAAATGAGCTCATTGCTCAAATATAATCTTTCATATGGTTCACAGAGCTAACATAAAACATTTAAACAACACATTATGTCTTTAAAAAAACGTTTTAAGTCATATAAGTAGAAATGCTCATTTAAAATGCAATATAGTATGTGTAGAATATTTTTTCCATTGGTTATATGCACTGTAAGTCATTGAGGTTTTTGAAAAGAGAGAAAAAAGGCAAGCAAGAAATAAATAACTTGAGTGTTCAAACTCAGATTTTCACTAAGAGAACAACTGTTGTGCTAAGTTCTGTTTGTATTTTAAGACTGGGCAAAAGAATATCTGCGATATTTCCAGATGAGGTTGAAACCGTAACAACACCAAAAAGATACTCACAAGATTTTAATGTGGGAGCAGAGATAGTTGCACTTGTAATTCTATAAGTAAGGATCATCTAGAACCTTGTCATTTTATAATTTCATTTATTTAATGTTCACTTCATTATATTAAATATTTATAATAAATTTCTATTTGTGACATTCAAACGTGCATAACTTCCTCCTGTATGACTCCAACTGGGAATACTACCTCACTTTGAACTGACCTCTTCCTCTGTGATTGTTCCTTTAAGATTGCCGAGTGTAGTATCCTAGAGTTAGCACCGCCTACTGGTTTTTCTGGGAAAAATCTATTGTTTTTTCTTTGACCAAGCAACCTTCCTGGTTTCTGTTCAACTTAATCCTACAATTTTTTCCCACTGTTTACTGAAAAATTTTTTTCCCAGGGGAAAGGGTTTCCTAAGTGAAAGTGGGAGGTGAGGGAAAGAAACATAATTAAAATTGGGTGTTGGACCTTTACCTCACATATTTTAATAAATTGTAATGAAATCATCACAAATCTAAAGCAGTCTGTTATAATTCCTATAATGTGGGCTGGGCACACAGCTCAGTGCTTGCCTAGCATATGGGAGGGTCTGAGTTCAATTCCCAGCACTACAGAAAAAAATTCCTGCAGCTCTTCTGTGGGAAGGAAATGTGGATATTATTAAGATTTCTGTGTTCCTTAATTACTTGGAAGTTTCTGCCCAGTCTTGAACATTTAGAGAAAGAAATTGTGGTTGGAATTGACTTGAGTATGTGCTTTGTTCAAGAATATTTAAATGAAAACATTTTTACCTGTTTCTTAAAATTTATCCTTACATATAAGCAATCAAATTGCATACTGTTTTTTTTTTTTTCCTTAGTATTTATCAGGTAGGTACATCATGATGGTGTTACATAGGAGGGGGAAAAGTTCCACAAATTCTTTGTGCATACTCTTGCATATTTATAGCTAGAAAGAATGTGTTACTTTGTTTTAAAGTGAGATCTAGTTTATTTTCTGTAACTTTTGCAAAATGCTAGTAGAAAGAATATTAAAATAGAGTATAAAATTATATTTTAAAGAAACTAATTAAAAATTAGCAATAGAAAAATAATGAAATAGAAAATAATTAGACATTTGAAAAACTAATGCTTTCTTAGTTAAAAAGACTTGTGCTGTATGGATAGCTATTTCCTAAATGAAATGGTTATATTTTTAATAAACCATTAAGAAGCATATGGAAGCACCAGAAGAAGTATATGACTGTTACATTTGAAAGCCTTCTGCCTGAATAAAAGTGTAGTCATGCTTTGTTTACTGCTTACTGATACTGTAAGCAACGAATCATATAGTACATCAAATCCAATCACACTCTACATTTCAAGTCTTCAAAAAGTTCTATTTTGGAAGTTGAAGAGAAGTGGGTATTTACAATTATATGTATAATGAAGACGGATTAGAGGAAAATACTTCAGTTACAATTTTTTCTCTTTGCTGACTTTTTAATACTTAAAAACATTGATTAGCTCTGGCTTTAAAGGATACAGTTATTTCTTCACCTGTTTTGTCATACTATTATTCAGGAAATTATCTTATACTGTGAAAAACTGAGGTAATGATGAATTTTATTCTTCAGAGTTTTCATGGAGCTCCAGAAAGTAAATAAGAATTTATTTTTTAAGGAAGAACCTGCCTGATTCACAGTTTTTATCATTTTCTTAGTGTTATTATTATAATTAGTGTATCCAGTGTTTTGCACAAATTTCTTTAAAAATTTCATAATTTACTTTGCTTCTTCCCTTTAATAAATATCTCTTTAGTAATTGACAGTGATACATAAATTTTCACATTAGTTAACAATGAGAGCAATTCGTTTCATTGGGCCTTGATTTTGAGAACGATGATTATTAAATAAGTAAAAGTTAATTTCTGAATATAACAACAGTTTCACAGTTTAGGGTTACATGATATTTGTCATCATTCTTAAATTTACCATTAAATTTTGATTTTTTGAATACATAGATCAATCCCAGCTGTTATGAACATTTAACAGTTTGTCTTATTTAATGACTTTTAGATTTACAACAATATATTGGAGGTGTTTTGTCTATATTTTGTTAGATTTATATTAAATATTAAAGTTATGTTGTGGACAATTGTGTTTTTACAATGCCTCCACACTTAAAAAAATGTTTTTGTTTTGCAGCTTCTTGCTTCTTCTCTATTTTTCTGAGAGTGAACCCTGGAAAATACTGAAGTTGATTTATTTTTTCCAGTCCATTCCTAACCACAGAGCTGGCAGTGAGGGAATTTTATTTATTGTATGGGATAAATGTCCTCTGAACTGTCCCTGAGACTTCTTAGCTTGGGTCAAGAGTGCCAGGGTTATTTGTTGGCAATGTATACATTTTAAGCAGAGAAGAGAATTGTAGAGACCATTATAATTTTATATATTGGAGAAAACTGACTTGGAAAGATGCGTAACTTGCTCAAAGATTTCACAGGTGGCCAAGGGACAAGTGAAGGGCATAAAGTCTGAAGTGTGACACCTCCTGGGCTATCATGCAGGTGGGAATGGTTGGTTTGAAGATAGGAATTTGAAAACTTTTTGAATATATAACAACTGCATTATATTTATTCTTGAGATATTATTCATGATGATTATAGTTTTCCAAGTTATCATCAGTGAGTGCCTTTCACTAGTAAGTACTTTTGACAGAAATAACAAAAAATGGTATCAGTTACATTAACTCTTTCACCTTCAGATGACCACAGAATCACACTCCAGCACTGCTGAATTTTCTGAGGACAACCCAAGGCATGGGAATTTGTAAGTTACCACTAGTGTTCTGGTGGTGGCAGAATAGATGGTTCTCTGTCTGCAGTGGCTTTATAGGAGCCCAGGGAAAAACACTGAGTCTTAACAAAGTCTTAACGAATCTGTACTCTTGAAGT